CAGAGCGGTAGCGTAGTCAAGGCGGCGGGTAGAGGCGAAGTCAGCGACAGCAGCGACAAGCGCGTCAAGGCGCGAGACAGGAACAGCAGGGTCGGTAACAAGAGAGGCAAGGACCCGAGGGACAAGGGGACGAGCAGCACGGAGGTAGTCAGAGAACGGAGGAGGTGCAACAGCAAGGGACGAGGGAGGAGGGGACGGGAGGAGGGGAGGACGAGACGAGTGGGAACGGAGCAACATAGGGTGGGTGGGCAGGACAGGAGAGACGGGACGAGCACGGGAGGGACGGCGAGCCCAAACGTGAGACGGAGGGGTAGGGTCAGGGGACAGCGGAGGAGACACACGAGGGGAACGAGGAGGAAGACGGGCCGGAGACGAGTCTGGCGGCGGGAACACAGGACCGTAGACAGGAAGGTCAGGAGGCGGTGGGGGAGACACCGGCGCGCGGTCCGGGGAGGGAAGGCCGAGCAGGCGGAGAGCGGAAACCGGCGGCGACGGCTGCTGCGGCGGCGACGACGGCTGGGCCGGAACTCTCGGACCAGCAGAGGCAGAACGACCGTCGGCAGAACACTCAACAGCAGCACCCCCAGAACCAACACCCCCAGAGCGAGAACCCCCTCCAACACCAGCGGCACCCCCAGAAGCCGCAGGACGAACACCCTCCTCCACACCAGCACCCCCAGGGGCCGAGAGCAGCGGCGGCAGTGGCGGCAACGGCTGCGGCGGCGGCGACAGCGGCGACGGCTGCGGCAGCGACAGCGGCGGCGGCGGCGACGACAGCGGCGACGGCTGCGGCGGCGACGGCGACGGCGGCGGCAGCGGGGTCGGCGACTGCGACAGTGGGGGCGGAGGCACCGGGGAAGGGGGACGCTGCAAGGACGGACCGGGGGTACCACCAGAGTCAGCAGACTCCTCAACGGGGACAACCGACGGGAGGGGAGTGACGTGGGAGACACCAGACGGGGCAGGACGAGGCGGGAGAGGGGCAGGGGCTACCGGGGGAGAGGGAGCAAGGAACAGGGGGGGGGCAACTGGGAGACCTCGGTGAGGGAAGCGGCGGTAGAAGGAGACGGACTCGTCAAAGGTGACGTCACGAGAGTGGAGGAAGCGGTGAGACGGCGGGTGGTAGAAAAGCCAGTCAGACGAGTCCAGGGGGAAACCGAGGAAGACACAGGGGACAGTGCGGGCAGTGAGCTTGTCCGTGCCAGAGGCACGAACGTGAGCAAGGCAGCCCCAGACGTGGAACGCAGACGCGTCACCGGGGGACCCGGTCCAAAGGAGGGTCGGCGAAACCTGCGGCCGCTGGGAGCGTGGCCACAGGTTAAGCTGGTGAGCCGCGTAGCGAACAGCGAACGGCCACAGAAAATGGGGGGCATCGGCATGGATCATGGAGGTACGGGCGACCTCCATGACCAAGCCGATGCGGCGCTCAGCAACCCCATTCTGCTGTGGCGAGTCCGGCAACGTGTACGACTGGGTGATGCCCTCCGCACGACAGAACTGTCCAAGCCGACCAGAGGCGAACTCGCCGCCACGGTCGGAGTGGAGACACAACACGGGGAGACCGCGGTGGAGACGCGCAGCCACAACCCACGGGAGAAGAACGTCGGGCACGTCGGCCTTCCGCTCCAGGGGAAACACCGTGGTGTAGCGCGTGTAGTCGTCGACGAGCACAAGGAAGTAGCGCTCACCGCGCGGTCCGGGGACGGGGGCAGGGCCCCAAACGTCCAAGTGCAGGGTCTGAAGGGGGGCAGTAGCAGGACGCAGCGAGGAGGAGTGAGGAGCACGGCGGAGCCGACCCTCGACGCAAGGCGTGCACGGTGGCGCAGTCGAGGGAGGAAGGGCAGGGAGCGACGCGGGGAGACCTAAGACAAGACCGTGCTGGGACATGTGACGCAGACGCGGGAGAGCAGGGTGACCTAAGCGGTGGTGCCAGAGAAGGGAGGGGTGAGTGAGGGACCGACACGAGCAAGCTGCAGCGACCTGGGAGGACGCACCAACCGGGGGGGAAGCGGTGTGTAGGGTAAACAGACCGGACACCGGGTCCCGGGGGAACGTCGCAAGGGGGGAACCTGAGACAGCCTCAGAACAGACAGCGAACCGCTCGTGCCCGGGGAACGTGGTGGTGACGCCGAGGTCCTGGAGACAGCCGACACCAACCAGGTTCCTGGAGAACGAGGGAACGTGGAGGCCAGTAAGGGAGCCCGAGGGAACTGCCGGACAAGGAAGGGACGTAGAACTGCGCGCGACGACCGGACCCGCAGAGGGGTCAGCGAGAGAGACAACAGCAGGTGCAGCAAGCGGCGTGAGCGTGGAACGGTCGCGGAAGAAGCAGGCAGAAGCACCAGAGTCGAGAGTGAAGGACAGCGACGCAGTGGCGGAGGCCGGGGACGGAGCCGGTGCAGCGACTAGACTAGGCAACCTAGGCAGTCCTACGCCTGTCGCAGCAGGGGAAGCTAAGCTACACAAGGGTGAAACACCTAAACTAGAGTACACAGGGTAGTAAGATCCAGCAACACTAGAAGCGTCAGCATACAAAGCATGCAAAGCAGCACCTATCTGATCCATGTCTAACTCAAAGATCGGCACGCCCTGGCGGAGCAGGCTGTGCCAGTCAGGGAGGTCCGGGGCCGGGCCAAAGCGACGACGAAAATGATCGGCGAGGCGGCGGAAACAGCGGGCGGTCGGGTGCGGGCGGCGGCACAGAGTGCCGCGGAGAGGCCCGGTCTGAAGCTGGTACTGGCAGGTCACAGCACTGGAGCCGCTGGTAGACGCCAAGCTGCGCGGGCCGCCACCACGGCCACCGCCTCCGGAGGTGCCGGGCCAACCAGGCGGGCGACGAGCCCACGGCTGCGGCGGGTGCTGCTGGGACGGCGGCTGCGGCTGGGGCTGGTCCTGCTGCTGCTGGGGCTGCTGCTCCTGCCCACCGGTGGTAGTCCCCTCAGGCGGACTACCGTCACCACCACCACGACCACTACCACCTGCGTCACCACCCCTACCTCCCTGGCGGCCACGGCCACCGCGACGCGAGCGCTGCTGCGGGTGGACAGCAGCAGCCGTCTCGGTAAGAGGGGTCGCCGTGGCGACCGCAGCCGAAACGTCAGTGAACGTGCACTGGGATGGGGCACAGCCGTGAAAGATAGAGACTGCCGGCGCACCGCTCGACTGAGCGATAGTGCGCTGGCGAGTCTCGATCTCAGTGAGGGTGTCGACAAAGGCGATCAGGGTGAGGTCACCCGGGTGCTGGCTAAGAAAGTGGTCGCGAGCACTAGCGAGGCGGTCTGGCAGGCGCATAGCGATAAAATAGAGCGTCATGCAGAAAGGAGGGGGGAGCGCAGTGAGCTGGGCAGCAGTGCTGGCAGTGCGATAGCGAGTCTCTAGGGCACGCAAATGAGTGGCAAAGTCTGCGACAGTAGGGAAGGCAGCCAGGTCTGGGAACAGCATCGGAAAGAGCAAGCGGCCAGCAGAAGCGGAGGCAGGGGTGGAATAGCGAGCAATAACGGCGTCTAAATAAGCTTTGGCCGTTTCAACAGTAGCAAAACGCGAGCGCTCAGACATAGGGAGGGCGTGACTAATAGCAACCTGAGCTACTGCATCGCGTGAGTCCCAGACCGCACAGGCCAGCGCAGCAGTAGAGAAAGCCTCACGGTCATCAGAGGAGGGGTCAGCAGGGAGGGGAGTAGGTGCAGGGGGACGGGGGAGCAAGCCATCAGCATGGACAACCAGAGAGTGGCCATCCTGGCGCTGACCTGTAAGCTGGCGGCGGAGATCGGAGAGCCAGGCGGCGAAGTCAACCGCGTGGCCCTCAGCGTCCATGCGGAGCACAAAGTCAGCCATCGTGCAGGGTCAGCGGCACAGCTCCTCAGCGACACAGCGGCACAGCAGCACAGCTCCTCAGCGGCACAGGAGCACAGCGGCGCGGGGACACGGCGGCAGCACTCTCCAGTAGGGCAGCAGCTAGGCGTCCCAGCGCAGGCGAGCAGAAGACACAGGGCCCGAGAGGACACGGCAGGCCGAGCAGGGGAGGCGGGCAGGTGCTCTGGGGCCGGGCTGGTGCTGGGAGGGGCCAGGCTGGTGCTGCTGGGGCCGGTCGGGCACGAGGAGGGGCCGGGCAGCGCTGAGGAGAGGCCGGGCGGCGCTAGGAAGGGGCCGGGCGGCACTAGGAGGAGGCCGAGCGGCACTAGGAGGCCAGGCAGGCGAGCGCTAACAGCAGGCGCGACAGGGGCCAGCGGGCGCGACGAGGCCTAAGGGGCGCGACGGGGCCCAGCGGGCACGACGGGGCCCAGGGGGGGCGCGACGGGGCCGAGGAGGCGCGACGGGGACCAGCGGGCACGACGGGGCCCAGGGGGGCCGCGACGGGGCCTAACGGGCGCGACGGGGCCCAGGGGGGGCGCGACGGGGCCTAGCAGGCGCGACGGGGCCTAGGAAGCGCGAAGGGGCCCAGCGGGTGCGACGGGGCCTAGGAGGCGCGACAGGGCCCAGCGGGCGCGACGGTGCCCAGAGGGGGCGCGACGGGGCCTAGGAGGCGCGACGGGGCCCAGCGGGCACGACAGGGCCTAGGAGGGGCGCGACGGGGCCGAACGGGCGCGACGGGGCCCAGAGGGGGGGGGACGCGACGGGGCTTAGGAGGCGCGACGATGCCTAGGAGGCACGACGGGGCTCAGCGGGCTCGATGGGGCCCATGGGGGGCGCGACGGGGCCTAGGAGGCGCAACGGGGCCCAGCGGGGGCGCGTTAGGGCCTAGGGGTCGCGACGGGGCCCAGCGGGCGCGACGGGGCCCAGGGGGAGCGCGACGGGGCCTAGGAGGCGCGACGGGGCCCAGCGGGCACGACGGGGCCCAGGGGGGGCGCGACGGGGCCTAACGAGCGCGACGGGGCCCAGGGGGGGCGCGACGGGGCCTAGGGGGCGCGACGGGGCCTAGGAGGCGCGACGGGCGGAAGCGGTAGGCGGGGGGATCCTAACCTAAGCGTGATACCATGTTAACGTAGAAACGAATGATTACTAGAGGTGGAAACCTAGAACAAATACTAGTTGGTTGTACTCACTAGAAGCATACCTCAGTCTAGCCTATAACTTCTACATAGATAATATGTATAAGTTGACAAACCCGTCCAACCAGCATTGCAAGTGAAATGCTATGCCACCGTCACAATCTTAATTTTCAGAACATTTTTTTCCTCACTGCAGAATCCCTGCGCCATCCGCATCTTCTAGACCCTAACCCTGAAGCAAGCGAGAGCGCTCGTTCGTTCCAGGGCCAACAGTGGCAGCAGCAGCACATCAAGAGCACAGCTAGCAGGTCTGCCTGACAGTGCTGGCAACGGCTTGCGCCCAGAGCCTGAGGTGCGTCTTGACATCCGAGGGGGGATCCTGTGGGTTGGCAAACGACCATGACTCGGCATCCCAGCTGCCGCTCACCCCCCTCTGGCCCTGGCTCTGGCTGTGCCTCTGGCTGCTGCTGCTGCTTCCAGTGACGAGGGAGGGGATGTGGCGTGGGGAGGATGGCATGGAGCTGCCCCGCTGCTGGGGGCACATGGGAGACGGGGGGGGAAACAAGGGATGGAGAAGGGAAGTCAGCACAAACACTCAAGTCCGATGCTAGGACGAGCAAGAAAGACGGAATTGGTTAGCCCCATTGGCACACAGCTATGATGACACACACCTATGATGACACAGAGCTATGATGACCCCGAGCTATGACGACACACAGCTAAGACGACACACAGCTATGACGACACAGCGTGCCCAGAGAAGCGCATATGCGGATGCAGAGCGTGGATGAAAGCACTGCCGCCACGTGTTATGCTTACCACGGCGTGGGGTTCGGGCGAGTGGGAGACAACGAAGGAATCCCCCGTGTACGACGAGATGCGTGGCGAGCAAGTGCCGCTGCCAACACCCACGGGCACGCTGATGCTACCAACACCAGCAGCACCGTCCCCAGCAGCACCAGGAGCAGCACCAGCAGGTGGAGACAGCCTGCCAGGACTCGTGCTCCCAGCTGCCAAATCAGCACCTGCACCCTGCCCAGTGGCACCAGCGGTTGCAGACAGAGGGCCGTGATGATGTTGGTGGTGTCTGGAGATGAGTCTCTGCTGCACGCTCCCCACGGCCTGGTACAGGCGCAGCGCGGGGAGCGTGGCCGTCATGCGCGCGCTCATGTCCGCCTGGCGGAACTTAAAGCCCAGATCCATGAACCCGCGCAGCTCCTCCACGTCAGCCTCTGCATGGGTCCACGTGGCACAGGGGGTGGCACAGGGGGGGTGGGGGGCACAGGGGAGACAGGGGGGTGGAGGAACGCGGAAAAGAGAGATTCAGACACCGGAGTAGCAGCTGGGGCGGGGGAAGGCGGGAGGGACAATGAAAGCTCGAGTGTCCAGCAGACAGTGGCTTGATTCACACAAAAGCAGACCGGAAAGGAAAAAAACCGGCTTGCTTGCACGCCCCCCTTGGAATCACATCCGCTTCAGTCACCCTCTCCACCCCGCTGACCTGTTAGGCTTCTTGCACGCGCGGAGGGCGTCAGCGGGAGCCCGACTCCCCCCCCCGCTTCCGCTTCCGCCTCGAATGCGCCTTCCCGCAGCGAGCTATTGGGCTCGTAATCCGCGGACTCATAATCAGACACGCTCCGCGTGCGCAAATACCGCGGCCTCCCCGCGCCTCCGCTTCCGCTTCCGCTACCCCCGAAGCCCGCCCCACTCTCCGCTTCCACCGCCCCAGTACCGCGCCCTGACCAGCGGAAAGGGGGAGAGGGGTGGAACGCGGAGAAATGCTCTCCACCGCTTCCCCGCCCCTCCGCGTATCCCCTCCGCCCAGAAGCCGCATACGGGGAAACAGTGCGCTCGTAGTAGTCGCCGTCGTTGCTCCGAGTCTCTATTTGATCCCGCTGCTCTTCGTCCGCCGGTAGCGGGGGATGCGGAGGCATCGACACGCGTCTCGACATGCGCGCCGCGTCGAGGCTGCTGCTGCGCTTCGGCCGGCGCCTGCTTCCCGACCGGCCGCGGCGACGCCGGTACTTTCCGAAGCTGCCTTCCATATCAGGCTCGGGGCTGTCGGACCTGGACCCACCGTTTGGTTCGGTTTGGTCGTCCGCCGACGCGGAAGCACATTCAACTGCCGCATCCTCTGCAACGCCGCGGACGTTGCTGGCGGAACTCGGCGCGCTTAGTTCCGCGTGCGCACACGCAACCTTTCCCGCTACCGTAGCCCCCGGAAGCGCATCCCCGTTATCATCATCTTCTGTCTCGTTAACAGCTTCCTGGATAGTGCTTAAATCGTAATCGTTTGGCCAAGCGGCGACATTGCTGGAGAACCATCCCTCGTCGAGCAAATCGAGCAGCGAGCCTCCCACGCCCGACACAACGGCACGAGACGACGACTGCTGCTGCTGCTGGCGCTTCGAGCTTAATGAGGCGAAAGGTAGCAAGCTTAAGAATGAGCGGGCAGGAGGCGGGGTGTCCAAACGGGCAGAAGGCAGTGAGGCGTCAGAGATAGAATCCGGCGCGCGTGGTGAGGAGTCAAAGAAGGAAGAAGATGTCGACGCGTCCGCCGGACGAATGGCGGATTTGGCTGCAGGAGAGGCACTGGGGCTGCTGCTGTTGCTGCTGACGTCAGCGCCAACTCCGTCGCTGCTCCGGGAGTCGCGGGAGCAGCCCTTATTGGAAGATCCAGCCAGGATAAGGCCGTTACTCATTAAGCCTTAAATCGATAGTGGCAATATGTCGAATAAGTCCCAATAACTGGGAAGCTGGTAGGTGATTTGAGAATAAGTACGTCAATATCGAGGATTATGTACGTCTAGATGAGGGCGACGAAAGCGCGCTGATTTACAAGCGAAGGCGAGAACGTTAATATTAAACGTTAATAGTTAATAGCTCACAGGAATGACAAAATAAGTTCGGAAATATACTGAAATAAAACAACATTCAGTAATAGTAGCAGTAGTTGTGGGCGCGTGCTACGTACTTCTGAATCATCACTCTACCAGTACTCCCTACAAAGACTTCTCACGGGGAGCAACCTCAAGATGCAACGGCTTTGCCGAGCAGATAAAGCTTGTCTTGTGACTGATTCCTGTTTGTTACTGGCTCCTGTTTCCTAGGGTCATGCTCCCAAGGGCTAGCAAAAGAGAGCCAGCCAGGCGGTCAGTACAGTGAGCCTCCAGCAGGTCTCTCCTCGCCTCATCAGCAGCAAGACAGAACAGAGAGGGAAGGCGGGCAGGGAACGGCGGGCAGCCCAGCAGCACCGCCAAACCCCCATAGCCCTCCTTCCCCCGTTCGCCCACAACCCTTATTTCTGTTCGGTTCCTCCCCTCCCCCCCTCCCCCCCCCCCCAAACCTCCCTCAGTCACCTGCTCAAAACCCTGAAAGAAGCGCGAAACGTGCGAACTGCCCAAAAGCACTTTTCCCGCAACATGCCCGCTGCGGCACAGACGGCCCATGCATGGCCCCCATGCAGCGGATGAGGCATCCCCGCTCCCGTCGGGATCTCCGCCCGCGAAGGGCTTCGCAGCAGCGAGCGTACGGAGCGAAGCGGAGCGGAACGCATCTGTTCACCAAACCACCTCCCCCTACCTTACACTGTCAGCGCTGCCCACGGAAGAAGGGGTAGCGGGGGAACAACTTCAGGGTTGGTGAAACGTGGCGTGTCAGGGGAACTGCTGTTATCCAGGCTGGATGATACATGGATCTCGGACAATGTTCGGGAAAAAGTGCAAGGGGAAAATATTTTAGTGGGCAGGAATTTACGGGCATCGAACGGGAAGGTATATTCGTCAGGGGATGATCTCCACCATTGCATAGAGTTATAAGAATTATCATTGGCCGTTGAAGTAGGTATGGTAACCTCTAAATGTGCCACGCTGGCCGAGAAGAAATGTTCTGCTGACCACAGTCCCGTATAGCGGGTCTTCTTGGTTCTTTCGGGTTCTGACAGTGTGCCAGCATGGATTAGGAAACAGTGACTGCGACGCGGTGGTTTGCGGCTGACCGCGTGCCAATGAACACGCAGGCATAAATACACCCGTTTCAGTACACTAGTGCTCTCACTATTTTTGTTCGGTTTGATGACGCATTTTTCCAATTCGCTGCTCGTTTTCTAAAGGCGCAGCGGAAACGAGGCTCAGGGTCCAGTGGAAGTACGGGATGGTAGAAGATTCAAACTACAGGTAATACCTTCAGTTTCAACGCAATAAAACTGCGTTAACAAAAATCCGCTGTATTTAGCGCATCCCCGCTACAAAAGTCAGTCTGCACGAGCACGACAGCTCTCGGCCACCGAAAGCGCGCCATCTGGACGAGAAGTATATCCACCTCTTGATCTGTTCCACGTGACAATGCTGAGAGCTCAGACCCAATTGCCTCCTTACAGTGTACATGCCAGTCTTCGGTTTATTCCTGCTCATTTTCGACAGACTCTAAGAAGAACTAGCCCCATAGCATGAACAATTCAAACAATCATGCAATATAAAGCCAAAATGAATGGCAACACTAAAAACAAAGCTTGTGCATTCATGCGAAATAATTAACCAATACTCACATAATTGTTATTTCCCCCAATATTTGCGTCTGGTATGGTCATTACATGCCTAAGTAGTGTGTAATTCATAACTTACGAAGAGCAATGAGTCCCACTTTCAGTAGAGTATTCGACTATGATCACAATATTCATATAAAAAGAGATATATTATGATATAGAATAGCCATAGCTAGATGTCAACTTATACATATTATCTATGTAGAAGTTATAGGCTAGACTGAGGTATGCTTCTAGTGAGTACAACCAACTAGTATTTGTTCTAGGTTTCCACCTCTAGTAATCATTCGTTTCTACGTTAACATGGTATCACGCTTAGGTTAGGATCCCCCCGCCTACCGCTTCCGCCCGTCGCGCCTCCTAGGCCCCGTCGCGCCCCCTAGGCCCTGTCGCGCCCCCCCTGGGCCCCGTCGCGCTCGTTAGGCCCCGTCGCGCCCCCCCTGGGCCCCGTCGTGCCCGCTGGGCCCCGTCGCGCCTCCTAGGCCCCGTCGCGCTCCCCCTGGGCCCCGTCGCGCCCACTGGGTCCCGTCGCGACCCCTAGGCCCTAACGCGCCCCCGCTGGGCCCCGTTGCGCCTCCTAGGCCCCGTCGCGCCCCCCATGGGCCCCGTCGAGCCCGCTGAGCCCCGTCGTGCCTCCTAGGCATCGTCGCGCCTCCTAAGCCCCGTCGCGTCCACCCCCTCTGGGCCCCGTCGCGCCCGTTCGGCCCCGTCGCGCCCCTCCTAGGCCCCGTCGCGCCCGCTGGGCCCCTTCGCGCTTCCTAGGCCCCGTCGCGCCTGCTAGGCCCCGTCGCGCCCACCCTGGGCCCCGTCGCGCCCGTTAGGCCCCGTCGCGGCCCCCCTGGGCCCCGTCGTGCCCGCTGGTCCCCGTCGCGCCTCCTCGGCCCCGTCGCGCCCCCCCTGGGCCCCGTCGTGCCCGCTGGGCCCCGTCGCGCCCCTTAGGCCCCGTCGCGCCCGCTGGCCCCTGTCGCGCCTGCTGTTAGCGCTCGCCCGCCTGGCCTCCTCCTAGTGCCGCTCGGCCTCCTCCTAGTGCCGCCCGGCCTCCTCCTAGTGCCGCCCGGCCCCTTCCTAGCGCCGCCCGGCCTCTCCTCAGCGCTGCCCGGCCCCTCCTCGTGCCCGACCGGCCCCAGCAGCACCAGCCAGGCCCCTCCCAGCACCAGCCTGGCCCCAGAGCACCTGCCCGCCTCCCCTGCTCGGCCTGCCGTGTCCTCTCGGGCCCTGTGTCTTCTGCTTGCCTGCGCTGGGACGCCTAGCTGCTGCCCTACTGGAGAGTGCTGCCGCCGTGTCCCCGCGCCGCTGTGCTCCTGTGCCGCTGAGGAGCTGTGCCGCTGTGTCGCTGAGGAGCTGTGCCGCTGACCCTGCACGATGGCTGACTTTGTGCTCCGCCTGGACGCTGAGGGCCACGCGGTTGACTTCGCCGCCTGGCTCTCCGATCTTCGCCGCCAGCTTACAGGTCAGCGCCAGGATGGCCACTCTCTGGTTGTCCATGCTGATGGCTTGCTCCCCCGTCCCCCTGCACCTACTCCCCTCCCTGCTGACCCCTCCTCTGATGACCGTGAGGCTTTCTCTACTGCTGCGCTGGCCTGTGCGGTCTGGGACTCACGCGATGCAGTAGCTCAGGTTGCTATTAGTCACGCCCTCCCTATGTCTGAGCGCTCGCGTTTTGCTACTGTTGAAACGGCCAAAGCTTATTTAGACGCCGTTATTGCTCGCTATTCCACCCCTGCCTCCGCTTCTGCTGGCCGCTTGCTCTTTCCGATGCTGTTCCCAGACCTGGCTGCCTTCCCTACTGTCGCAGATTTTGCCACTCATTTGCGTGCCCTAGAGACTCGCTATCGCACTGCCAGCACTGCTGCCCAGCTCACTGCGCTCCCCCCTCCTTTCTGCATGACGCTCTATTTTATCGCTATGCGCCTGCCAGACCGCCTCGCTAGTGCTCGCGACCACTTTCTTAGCCAGCACCCGGGTGACCTCACCCTGACCGCCTTTGTCGACACCCTCACTGAGATCGAGACTCGCCAGCGCACTATCGCTCAGTCGAGCGGTGCGCCGGCAGTCTCTATCTTTCACGGTTGTGCCCCATCCCCGTGCACGTTCACTGACGTTTCGGCTGCGGTCGCCACGGCGACCCCTCTTACCGAGACGGCTGCTGCTGTCCACCCGCAGCAGCGCTCGCGTCGCGGTGGCCGTGGCCGTGGCCGCCAGGGAGGTAGGGGTGGTGACGCAGGTGGTAGTGGTCGTGGTGGTGGTGACGGTAGTCCGCCTGAGGGGACTACCACCGGTGGGCAGGAGCAGCAGTCCCAGCAGCAGCAGGACCAGCCCCAGCCGCAGCCGCCGCAGCCGTGGGCTCGTCTCCCGCCTGGTTGGCCCGGCACCTCCGGAGGCGGTGGCCGTGGTGGCGGCCCGCGCAGCTTGGCGTCTACCAGCGGCTCCAGTGCTGTGACCTGCCAGTACCAGCTTCAGACCGGGCCTCTCCGCGGCACTCTGTGCCGCCGCCCGCACCCGACCGCCCACTGTTTCCGCCGCCTCGACGATCTTTTTCGTCGTCGCTTTGGCCCGGCCCCGGACCTCCCTGACTGGCACAGCCTGCTCCGCCAGGGCGTGCCGATCTTTGAGTTAGACATGGATCAGATAGGTGCTGCTTTGCATGCTTTGTATGCTGACGCTTCTAGTGTTGATGGATCTTACTACCATGTGTACTCTAGTTTAGGTGTTTCACCCTTGTGTAGCTTAGCTTCCCCTGCTGCGACAGGCGTAGGACTGCCTAGGTTGCCTAGTCTAGTCGCTGCACCGGCTCCGTCCGCGGCCTCCGCCACTGCGTCGCTGTCCTTCACTCTCGACTCTGGTGCTTCTGCCTGCTTCTTCCGCGACCGTTCCACGCTCACGCCGCTTGCTGCACCTGCTGTTGTCTCTCTCGCTGACCCCTCTGCGGGTCCGGTCGTCGCGCGCAGTTCTACGTCCCTTCCCTGTCCGGCAGTTCCCTCGGGCTCCCTTACTGGCCTCCACGTTCCCTCGTTCTCCAGGAACCTGGTTGGTGTCGGCTGTCTCCAGGACCTCGGCGTCACCACCACGTTCCCCGGGCACGAGCGGTTCGCTGTCTGTTCTGAGGCTGTCTCAGGTTCCCCCCTTGCGACGTTCCCCCGGGACCCGGTGTCCGGTCTGTTTACCCTACACACCGCTTCCCCCCCGGTTGGTGCGTCCTCCCAGGTCGCTGCAGCTTGCTCGTGTCGGTCCCTCACTCACCCCTCCCTTCTCTGGCACCACCGCTTAGGTCACCCTGCTCTCCCGCGTCTGCGTCACATGTCCCAGCACGGTCTTGTCTTAGGTCTCCCCGCGTCACTCCCTGCCCTTCCTCCCTCGACTGCGCCACCGTGCACGCCTTGCGTCGAGGGTCGGCTCCGCCGTGCTCCTCACTCCTCCTCGTTGCGTCCTGCTACTGCCCCCCTTCAGACCCTGCACTTGGACGTTTGGGGCCCTGCCCCCGTCCCCGGACCGCGCGGTGAGCGCTACTTCCTTGTGCTCGTTGACGACTACACGCGCTACACCACGGTGTTTCCCCTGGAGCGGAAGGCCGACGTGCCCGACGTTCTTCTCCCGTGGGTTGTAGCTGCGCGTCTCCACCGCGGTCTCCCCGTGTTGTGTCTCCACTCCGACCGTGGCGGCGAGTTCGCCTCTGGTCGGCTTGGACAGTTCTGTCGTGCGGAGGGCATCACCCAGTCGTACACGTTGCCGGACTCGCCACAGCAGAATGGGGTTGCTGAGCGCCGCATCGGCTTGGTCATGGAGGTCGCCCGTACCTCCATGATCCATGCCGATGCCCCCCATTTTCTGTGGCCGTTCGCTGTTCGCTACGCGGCTCACCAGCTTAACCTGTGGCCACGCTCCCAGCGGCCGCAGGTTTCGCCGACCCTCCTTTGGACCGGGTCCCCCGGTGACGCGTCTGCGTTCCACGTCTGGGGCTGCCTTGCTCACGTTCGTGCCTCTGGCACGGACAAGCTCACTGCCCGCACTGTCCCCTGTGTCTTCCTCGGTTTCCCCCTGGACTCGTCTGACTGGCTTTTCTACCACCCGCCGTCTCACCGCTTCCTCCACTCTCGTGACGTCACCTTTGACGAGTCCGTCTCCTTCTACCGCCGCTTCCCTCACCGAGGTCTCCCAGTTGCCCCCCCCCTTTTCCTTGCTCCCTCTCCCCCGGTAGCCCCTGCCCCTCTCCCGCCTCGTCCTGCCCCGTCTGGTGTCTCCCACGTCACTCCCCTCCCGTCGGTTGTCCCCGTTGAGGAGTCTGCTGACTCTGGTGGTACCCCCGGTCCGTCCTTGCCGCGTCCCCCTTCCCCAGTGCCTCCGCCCCCACTGTCGCAGTCGCCGACCCCGCTGCCGCCGCCGTCGCCGTCGCCGCCGCAGCCGTCGCCGCTGTCGCCGCCACTGCCGCCGCTGCTCTCGGCCCCTGGGGGTGCTGGTGTGGAGGAGGGTGTTCGTCCTGCGGCTTCTGGGGGTGCCGCTGGTGTTGGAGGGGGTTCTCGCTCTTGGGGTGTTGGTTCTGGGGGTGCTGCTGTTGAGTGTTCTGCCGACGGTCGTTCTGCCTCTGCTGGTCCGAGAGTTCCGGCCCAACCGTCGTCGCCGCCACAGCAGCCGTCGCCGCCGGTTTCCGCTCTCCGCCTGCTCGGCCTTCCCTCCCCGGACCGCGCGCCGGTGTCTCCCCCACCGCCTCCTGACCTCCCTGTCTACGGTCCTGTGTTCCCGCCGCCAGACTCGTCTCCGGCCCGTCTTCCTCCTCGTTCCCCTCCTGTGTCTCCTCCGCTGTCCCCTGACCCTACCCCTCCGTCTCACGTTTGGGCTCGCCGTCCCTCCCGTGCTCGTCCCGTCTCTCCTGTCCTGCCCACCCACCCTATGTTGCTCCGTTCCCACTCGTCTCGTCCTCCCCTCCTCCCGTCCCCTCCTCCCTCGTCCCTTGCTGTTGCACCTCCTCCGTTCTCTGACTACCTCCGTGCTGCTCGTCCCCTTGTCCCTCGGGTCCTTGCCTCTCTTGTTACCGACCCTGCTGTTCCTGTCTCGCGCCTTGACGCGCTTGTCGCTGCTGTCGCTGACTTCGCTTCTACCCGCCGCCTTGACTACGCTACCGCTCTGGTCTCTGACCCTGCCCGTCCTCTGTCCGTCGGGGGTGCTCCTGCCCTTGGCAGTGACGTCCTAGAGGACAGGCAGTACGAGCTGGCTTTCCTTTCCGAGGCTGCTCCCCATCTCTGCTCCATGCTGTTAGTCCCTGAGGGTGACCCAGACGCCTTCGACATCCCGACCCCTCGCACCTACGCTGAGGCCACCTCGGGACCTTGGGCCTCTCAGTGGATAGCTGCCATGGAGCAGGAGATGGCATCCTGGAGATCCACCGGCACTTACGTCGACGCAGTTCCCCCGCCTGGGGTGAACGTAGTCGATGGTCGGTGGCTCTTCAAGGTGAAGCGCCCCCCTGGAGAGCCGCCTGTCTTCAAGGCGCGCTACGTGGCCAGAGGTTTCAGTCAGCGCGAGGGGGTTGACTTCTTCCAGACCTTCGCCCCGACCCCGAAGATGACCACTCTTCGGGCGCTGCTACACGTAGCAGCACAGCGTGACTACGAGCTTCACTCTCTCGACTTCTCTACTGCCTTTCTTCAGGGCAGCCTACACGAGCAGGTCTACCTGCGCCGACCACAGGGCTTCACTGGTACCTTCCCCCCTGGGACCCAGTGGCTTCTCAGGCGCCCGGTCTACGGCCTGCGTCAGGCTCCCCGCGAGTGGCACGACACGCTACGTGCCACGTTAGCAGACCTGCAGTTCTTTCCGTCCTCTGCTGACCCTTCACTGTTTGTGCGTTCCGGCCAGACTCCGTTCTACATCCTTGCCTACGTAGACGACCTGGTCTTCGCTACTCCTGACAGGGACGCACTGGCCTCTGTGAAGGCTGAGCTGCTGAAGAGACACACCTGCACTGACCTTGGAGAGCTGCGTCGCTATCTTGGCCTGCAGATCTCTAGGGACAGAGCAGCACGCACCATCACTCTGACCCAGTCACACTTGGTGCGTCAGGTCCTTCAGAGGTTCGGTCTTCAGTTCTCCTCCGCACAGCCCACACCTCTACCCGTAGACCATGGGCTCTCTGCTCCCGTTCCTGAGGAGCCAGTAGAGCCCAGTGGCCCCTACGCAGAGCTGGTGGGTTGCCTCATGTACCTGATGACTTGCACTCGCCCAGATCTCGCATACCCTCTCAGCATCCTGGCTCGCTTTGTGGCTACAGGCAGACACCGACCTCAGCACTGGTCTGCCGCTAAGAGGGTTTTGCGTTATCTTGCTAGTACATCAGGCATGGGGTTAGTGCTAGGAGGACGCAGGCCAGTGGTCCTTACTGGGCACACAGACGCTTCTTGGGCAGACGACGCTGAGACGCTCAGGTCGTCGCAGGGCTACTGTTTCAGCCTTGGTTCGGGTGCTATCTCTTGGAGATCCACTCGCTCGTCGTCTGTGGCTCAGTCTAGCTGTGAGGCTGAGATCTACGCTGGTGCCATGGCGGCACAGGAGCTCCGCTGGCTGACCTTCTTGCTCACAGACTTAGGTGAGCGGCCTAGCTCTGCCCCGGTCCTGTACGCTGACAACAGGGCCATGATACTCCTGTGTCAGGAGCCTCGGCTTGAGGGCAGAGCGAAGCATATCCAGCTGCGGTACTTCCTCCTGCGCGAGCTACAGCAGCGCCGCCAGGCCCGCGTAGTTCACTTGGCCTCAGGTGCCAACACAGCTGATATCTTTACTAAGGCGCTTGCGCCTAAAGATCATCAGCGGCACTGTGTACAGCTTGGTCTTGTTCCTATAGCTGCTCCCCTGTTAGGATCCTGATTGTGTACTCTCTATTATATATGCTTGTCAGACTGGCCTTGTGGCCTTACCTCCAGTGGCTGGACTAGTAGTGCCACCCTGGCTTGCTTCAGTTTTGGTTGTATTCTTGCTGACTGGTCTCCAGACCCCTGCCTCAGTGGTTGGACTAGTAGTGCCGCCCTGAGCTGTTTGCTTCTTGTTTAGTTTCACCCCTTGTCTAGCCTAGGGGGTGTGTCAACTTATACATATTATCTATGTAGAAGTTATAGGCTAGACTGAGGTATGCTTCTAGTGAGTACAACCAACTAGTATTTGTTCTAGGTTTCCACCTCTAGTAATCATTCGTTTCTACGTTAACACTAGATGCATATGTACTCACATTCTAGAAATGCCAGAGGGTTTTATGATATTGTGAGATGTAACACGCTAGGATGGCGGACCCGATCCCCGTCACTGCATTCGCTGTTTCTAGCAACATCTTGCCGTGCCCCAACCTGGGCTTTCCGGGCGAGCAAACCCTTCAGCCATCAAGCTGGGGACCCATCAAGCTCGCATCAGCATTCCACTGCCAGCCATGGCGTCTGCTTCGCATCGCACATGCTAATCTCAGCATCGAAGACCCATATTGCGCCCAAATCCGACCCCCTTAAGAATTGCTGTTCTAACCCCTTTTCAATTGCTGTGCATCCGTAGGCTGGACTGATGAAAGCGGGGTGACGGCGTGCGAATTTAGTTAGTCTATTAGGTTTTTGGCGCGCTGATAGTGCGGCTTCCGCGTAGAGCTACCTGTGACAGGCGGCGTCCAGGAGCGTAGTACAAAATATCTGAAGGTCCTGTCTCTTGGTGTTCCCTGCTGTCGTCACTGGCAGGTCATTGCCCCACGCAGCAGCGCAGTCCACGTGTTATTGTCGAATACATGGAATGAGTGAATGTTGAGACAATAAGCCCGGACCTTTCCGGCTTGTGGACCCATCGTACTCCCCTGTACTCTATTCTCCGAATTGACTAAAGACAGCACCCTTCGCCATCCGTCCGCTATTCTCGCGTACATCCCCAGCTCGACATCATCACCGTCATCATCACCGTCAGCATCACCGTCATCATCACCGTCATCATCACCGTCAGCATCACCGTCATCATCATCACTGTCTTCTCCGTCGCCCCGCCGCCGACTCGCCACCCTCATCCACGCCCACCTCCTCGCACGTGGCTCATCGCCACCATCCTCATCCCCCTCCTCATCTTCCTCGTCTCCCCCCGACTCGCCGCCATGAATCAGCCGCGCCGCAAGTCGGCGTTCCGCATCGAGCCGTTCCGCCACAAGGTGGAGATGGACCCCAAGTACGCGGAGAAGACGTGGGGCATCCTGGAAGATGCGATTCACCAAATCTACAACCACAACGCCAGCGGCCTCAGCTTCGAAGAGCTGTACAGGTGAGGCTGTCGGTCCATCGCGTCAAGGGCGGGTCGCTCCGCCACACGGTGGAGATAGACCCCTAGTACGCGGAGAAGACGTGGGGCATTCTGGAGGATGCCATTCATCAGATCTATAATCACAACGCGTCAGGCCTCAGCTTCGACGAGCTCTACAGGTGCGTCTTCCCTTCTTCGCCCGCATCGCGCCCGGCGAGAACAGTCGTGCCGCCACAAGGTGGAGATAGCCCCCAAGTACGCCGAGAAGGCGTGGGGCATTCTCGAGGACGCGATCCACCAAATTTACAACCACAACGCGTCAGGCCTCAGCTTCGAAGAGCTCTACAGGTGCGTCTTCCCCTTGTTCCCCCGTACCGCTACCGGTGAGAGCAGTCCTTCCGCCATGAGGGGGTGCAGATGGACCCCAAGTGCGCGGGGAAGACGTGGGGCATTCTCGGGGACGCCAATTCTCGGGGACGCCAATTCTCGGGGACGCGATTCACCAGATTTACAATCGCAACGCGTCACGCCTCAGCTTCGAAGAGCTCTACAGGTGTGTCGACAGGGTCTACACCAGCCTGCCCGACCTTCTGTACAGCCATGCTAACTGCTGCCGCCCTCTCTCCCTCTTCTCTTGCGCTTTCTTGTGGTCCTCTCGTCTCTCTTTCTCCTCCCTCCCTTTCCTTTCCTTGTGTTCTCGTCTCCGTCGCATCACCACGTCAGCCCATCACCAGGTCAGCCCATCACCACAGCATGGCGCTGCCTGCACAGGAACGGGGACAGGCTGTATGCGGGCCTGGTGGGTGGTTAGCACTCACCCTCCCGTTCTCTCTTCCCCTCCCCATCACCCCCAGGACAGCCCACAACCTGCTGCCTGCACAGGAACGGTACTGGGACAGGCTGTATGCGGGCCTGGTGGGTGGTTCCCATGCCAATCCAAGTGCTGCCTGCCTCCCTCTCGTCCCGTGTCGTTCCTGTTAGCATTTCCTCCCCATCCCATCACCAGCAGTCAGGACAACCCACAACATGGTGCTGCACCAGTACGGTACTGGGAGAGGCTGTATGCGGGCCTGGTGGCTTCTTAGCATGCCAAGTGACGCCTCCCTCCCCCCCCTCGTTCCTTTTACCTTTCTTCCCGCTCCTATCACCAGGAGCGCCTTCAACATGGTGCTGCACAAGTACGGTGACAGGCTCTCTGCTCGTCCGATCGCCGTGCTACCACGCTGATTGCCTTGCTGCGTCACTCCTCCTGTCCTGCTCACCCGCCCATTGCTTGCAGGAACGCGTACAGCATGCTGCTGCACAGGTACGGCGACAGGCTGTATGCCGGGCTTGCTGGTGCCTGCACTCACCTACTCACGCTCACACTCCCTTTCTCTCTCCCTCTCTCTTCCTCTCTCTTCCTCTCTCTTCCTCTCTCTCCCTCTCTCTCCCTCTCTCTCCCTCTCTCTTCCTCTCTCTCCCTCTCCCCCACAAGCAGGAACGCCTACAACATGGTGCTGCACAAGTATGGCGACAGGCTCTACGCGGGCCTGGTAACCACCATGACGAACCACCTCAAGGGCGTGGCGGCGGCCATAGAGGCGGCTCACGGGCCGCTGTTTCTGAATGAGCTGGATGCGAGGTGGGTGGGGGCTCTGTGGCATGACGGATGGCTGGCTGTGTCCTGCTCTGCTTGTTCCCATGACTGTGTGGTGGGCGGCGGCCATAGAGGCGTCGCACAGCCCGCCTTTCCTGAATGAGCTGGATGCCAGGTGGGTGGGGGCTCTGTTGCATGACGGACGGTAGGCAGGCTGTGTGGTAGGAGGCTCTATGCAGGCAGTGTGGCCACCGTGACGACCCACCTCAAGGGCGTGCGTGTCGGCTGCTATAAGGGGGGGCGCACGCTCCGCTGTGCCGGGTGGGTGATGTAACATGCTTGTGCGGGTGGCTGTGTGCTGCTCTGCTCCCTATGGGCGCGTGGCGGCGCCCATAGAGGCGGCGGCCATAGAGGCGGCGCACGCCCCGCTGTTCCGCAACGAGCTGGATGCCAGGTGGGTGGAGATCGAGCAATCGGCTCAATGTTAGGTGGGTGGGAGGGAGGTTGCAGGGTTCATGGTGCATGGGTGGGTGGCTGGTGCGCTTGACACGTGCGGTACGATGCCCTGCGCTGAGACTCCCCCCCCTTTACCCCCCCTTCCCCCCCCCCCTCTCCCTCCATCCCCCCAGGTGGCATGACTACGGCAAGTCGCTGCAGATGATCGGCGACGTCCTCATGTACAAGGACCGCACATGCGTGGCCAACTCATCTGTGCTGAGACGCTGTGGTGCAATACCGAGACACCTTTTCCTCCCTAATGCCTCTTCCTTCCCCCAGATGGCACGACTACGGCAAGTCGCTGCAGAGGAGTCTATTTTTGAGGCACCTAAAAAATACGCCCCTCCCCCCCTCTCCCTCCATCCCCCCAGGTGGCACGACTACGGCAAGTCGCTGCAGATGATCCGCGACATCCTCATGTACATGGACCGCACGTATGTGACCAATCACAACAAGACACCTGTGCACGACCTCGGCCTCGCCCTCTGGCGCGACCACGTCGTGCGTGCGCCCGCCATCCGCCCGCGCCTCCTCTCCACCCTCCTCTCGCTCGTCCAGCAGGAGCGCTCGGGCGAGGTGATCAACCGCGCGCTCATGCGCTCCATCTCCTCCATGTTCGCCGATCTCGGCCCGACCGTCTACGCGGAAGATCTGGAGCGTCCGTTTCTGGAAGCCTCCGCGGCGTTTTACCGCGGCGAGGCGCAGCGGTACCTGGGGACGTGCGACTGCGCGGACTACCTGAAGGTGGCGGAGAGGCGGCTGGAGGAGGAGGGCGAGCGGGTGGTGCAGTACTTGGACGCGCGCACGGAGGGCAAGGTGACGGCCGTGGTGGAGCGGGAGATGGTGGGCAACCACCTCAGGCTGCTGGTGGATATGGAGAACTCGGGGCTGGTTCCCATGCTCGTGAATGACAAGTACGAGGTGAGTCGCAGGGGGCTCTCTTCCTAGGGGTACGTAGTGCATATTCCGTGAGATGGTGGGCAACCAACCACCTGCCGCTGCTTGTGGACATGGAGAGCTTGAGGCTCGAGCCCGTGCTGGTCAACGACAAGTACGTGGTGGGAGGGTGCGCTTTCCTTTCCTCCAACCTCCTTTCTCCCCCCTCGTTCTGTCTCGGCAAGCACATGCCCGGGGATGCTTTCTCCCCCCTTGTGCTGTCTCGGCAAGCAGATGCCCCGGGGGGCTGCAGGCGATGAGAGGACTGACAAGTTGCCTGGCTATTTGCCCATTTATCTGCCCATCTATGAGCCCATGTATGTCCTAAACATCGCTCAGCACATCGCGTGCATGTAGCGCCTCTTGAAGCGCGTGCCAGGGGGTCTGCAGGTGATAAGGAAGGTGATGGTTTGACCCGTTAGGTGTCTCTTTCCTTCGAGCACCCCCCATTCCCCCCTTCCCCCCTCACGTACGTGCTAAACGCGTTTCTTCCAGCATAGGTGCTAGGGGGAGCTACACACGAATTCAACCCAAACTTACCGTGCTACCTTCCCTTCCCCTCTCCCCCCCCCCTCTCTCTTTCCCCCACGTCCCGACCAGGACATTGCCCACATGTACCGCCTCCCTCTTCCCCCCCCCCGCCCTCTCTCAGGACATTGCGCGCATGTACCGCCTCCCTCTTCCCCCCCCCCGCCCTCTCTCAGGACATCGCGCGCATGTACCGCCTCTTGAAGCGCGTGCCAGCGGGGCTGCAGACGATGCGGGAGGTGATGGCGGGGCACCTGAGGGACACGGGCCGACAGCTCGTGACTGACCCGGACAGGTATGCTGGTGGTAATGATAAAGGAAGGTAGACGATGCGGGAGGGGCACCCGAGGAGGACACGGGCCGACAGCTCGGGACGGACCCGGACAGGTATGGTGGTGGTTGTATCATCAACTCAACCCCTGACGGGTGCGCATCCCTCGCTCCCCCCGCTCTCTCCGGCTGGTCACGAGGAAGGGAGCCAGACGACGGGGGAGGGAGGTGCTGGCGGGGCACCTGAGGGACACGGACAGGCAGCTCGTGACGGACCCGGCCAGGTGCGTGTGTCTCCTTCTCTCTGGGTCGAGATGTCTCAACGCACTGCAGGGAGGATGGCGTGCGTGCGTCCACCAGGATGGCAGGCGGCCTTGGTGGTGATGGCAGGTCCTGGTGCGTGTGAGGGAGGTGCTGGCGGGGCACCTGTGGGAGACGGGCAGGCAGCTCGTGACGGAGCCGGCCAGGTGCTCATCGCCCTCTTGGTGAGGACAAGCTGCGAATGAGGCTCATTCTGAAGGTGATTTTTGAGTCGACTCAAAAATCGCCCTCTTGGTGGGGACAAGCTGCGGATGGGGCTCATTCACTTCCCTCCTCTTCCCTCCCTCCCCCATCCTGCAGGTCCAAGGACCCAGTGGAGTTTGTGCGGCGCCTACTGGAGGAGAAGGACAAGTACGACCGCATCATCATCGCCTCGTTCGCCTCAGACAAGACGTTCCACACGGCGCTCAGCACAGCTTCAACCCGTGCACTCCCGTCTCCCCCCCCCCCCTGACTCCCTTCCTCGTTGCCCTCTTTCCACAAGCAGGTCCAAGGACCCAGTGGAGTTCGTGCAGCGCCTACTAGAGGAGAAGGACAAGTACGACCGCATCATCATCGCCTCCTTCTCGTCAGACAAGGCGTTCCACACGGCGCTCAGCACGGCCTTTGAGTTCTTCCTCAACCTCAGCCAGCGTGCCGCCGAGTACATCTCGCTCTTCGTGGACGACAAGCTGCGCAAGGGGCTCAAGGGGGCCAGCGAGGAGGAGGCCGAGGCAGTCCTAGACAAAGTCATGACGCTCTTCCGGTTCCTGCAGGAGAAGGACGTTTTTGAGAAGTACTACAAGCAGCACTTAGCTAAGCGATTGCTGTCGGGGAAGACGGTTTCGGACGATGCTGAGCGGAGCTTTATAGTGAAGCTGAAGACGGAGTGCGGGTACCAGTTCACGTCGAAGCTGGAGGGCATGTTTTTGGACATGAAGACGTCTCAGGACACCATGCAGGCGTTTCAGACGGCCCTGCAGGCGGAAGCGGCAGCGGCGGCGGCGGCGGGAGGGGGGGTGGGGGCGGGGGAGGAGAGGGGAGGCGGGGAGGGTGAGGTGGAGGATCCCGCTAGTGGCGTGGCTGCTGCTGCTGCCGCTGCAGCTGCTGCTGGTGCTGCTGGTGGTGCTGTAGAGAGAGATTTGGGGGAGGAGGGAGGGGATGAGGGCGGGGAGGAGGAAGGGGAGAGGTCCATACGTGGCGGAGCAGCAGCACTTGCCGAACCAGATCTTGCTCTCGCCGGGCCTAGCTCCGCTGCCGGACCTTCCGGCACGGCAGCAGGGGGGGGACTATTCCAGGGGCCTACTCTATCTGTGCAGGTGTTAACCACAGGGTCATGGCCCACTCAGGCAGGCGCCAGGTGCAACCTCCCCGGGGAGATCCTGCCCATCTGCGAGAAGTTCACTCGACACTACCTGACGACGCACACCGGGCGGCGGCTGACGTGGCAGATGAACATGGGCCATGCGGACGTGAAGGCGACGTTTGAGTCGAGGAAATACGAGCTGTCGGTGTCGACCTACCAGGTGGGTCGGTTCTGTTGCTGCCCTTGTGCCAGGTGGGTGGATTGGGTATGGGGTGTGAGTGACAGCTCGTGATGGCTTGTGCTGGCTTGTGCTGGCTTGTGCTGGCTTGTGCTGGCTTGTGCTGGCTCGTGCTGGCTTGTGCTCTCTTGTGCTCTCTTGTGCTGGCTGTGCTCCCTTGTGCTGGCTTGTGCTCCTGTGTGCTGGCTTGTTCTGGCTTGTGCTGGCTTGTGCTGGCTTGTGCTGGCTTGTGCTGGCGTGTGCTGGCTTGTGCTGTCGTGTGCTGGCTTGTGCTGGCTTGTGCTGGCTTGTGCTGGCTTGTGCTGGCTTGTGCTGGCTTGTGCTGGCTTGTGCTGGCTTGTGCTGGCTTGTGCTCGCTTGTGCTCGCTTGTGCCATCGAAGCCGCCACCGAGATTCCCTCAGCTGAGGCGCAGCCTGCACCCTCACACCCTCACCCCCGCCCCTTGCCCCCCGTTAACCACCCTCACCCCCTTGCCATGCAGATGTGCATCCTCATGCTCTTCAACACCCACGACTCCCTCACCTACCGCGACATCGAAGCAGCGACCGACATCCCCTCGGCGGACCTGCGGCGCAACCTGCAGTCGCTGTCGCTGGTGCGTGGGAAGAACGTGCTGCGGAAGGAGCCGGTGAGCAAGGAGGTGGGCGACGACGACACCTTCCACTTCAACCACAAGTTCACCTCCAAGTTCTTCAAGGTGGGGGGGGGATTCATGGTCTAAGGGGACTGTTGCACGGAGGGAGCAACTGTTGCAGGTGAGGCGAGACAGAAGGGTGGTGGTAAGGGGGAGCAGCCCACATGAACAAGGAGGTGGGCGACGACGACACCCTCCACTTCAACCACAAGTTCACCTCCAAGTTCTTCAAGGTGCGAGGGGGGGGAGATGCTCCAAGGCATAGCATAGCCGTCAAGGTGGGAGGGGCGCATACAGCCTGCAGTGCTGGTCTCTGGTGCATTCAGCAATGGGGTGGGGGACAGTGACTCCTTCCACGTCAACCACAAGTTCACCTGCAAGGTCTGCAAGGTGGGCCGGTCTGCCAGGCTGCAGCACACTCCCTCTGGTGAGGAGCAGCAACCAGCAACCTGCAGTCGCTGCCGCTGGCGTGCTGAAGAACGCGCTGTGGACGGAGCCCGTGAGCAGAGAGGTGGGGGGCGGCGTCTTCTTCCACTGCATCTGCTTCCCTCGTGTTCGTCCAAGTGGGGGGCGACGATACCAACCTCTGCCTCCAAGTTTGCAGGTGAATCTTGGAACCGTATTGGCGCAGAAAGAAGCAGAGCCGGAGAAGGCAGCGCTGTGCGTGCAGGCGCCTCAAAACCCATCTGCCCCTTCGTCCTGTCATTCTCCTCCTATTTCCCTTGGTGTTTTTCCAAACTGCAGGTGAAGATTGGGACCATCTCGGCGCAGAAGGAGACGGAGCCGGAGAAGGCGGAGACGCGGCAGAAGGTGGAGGAGGACCGGAAGCCGCAGATAGAGGCAGCGATAGTGAGGATTATGAAGTCACGGCGCATGCTGGACCACAACAACCTCGTCAGGTGAGAGCTTATAAAGGGTACAGCAGGTGCTTAGGGCGGTTGAGCTCAGTTGTGGCCTTTTTACATACTTGGAGGCAGTAGCAGCACTGTTTGTGTGCTGCTTTGGTGCCCAAGTCTCTGTTTCGTGACGTGATCCCTCTGCCGTTCCACTGTGCAGCGAAGTGACCAAGCAGCTGCAGGCGCGCTTCCTGCCCAACCCAGCGGTGATCAAGAAGCGCATAGAGAGCCTCATAGAGAGGGAGTTCCTCGAGCGGGACCGCAACGACCGCAAGCTGTACCGCTACCTTGCTTAAATGCGGCGCTAAAAGTGACTAGTGAGCCGTCAGAGAGGATCTGTAAGCGGACAGAAGGGGATCGCATCAGCCACTGCAAGCTCTACCGCTACCTCGCTTGACGCCACTCTTCCTCGCTACAGCCGACTTGTATTGCAGGTCACTTCTAATGTGATCTGTAAGCAGACGGAGAGAGGGATTGCAATGACTGCAAGCTCCACCGCCCTCGCTTGAAGAGACTCTAGAAAACCCTCTAATTGTTCCATAAGCAGGTGGCGAGGGGTCGTGATTTGGAGCGACCTCACCTCAAGCTCTACCTACCACTACCTCGCTTGACCAATATGAAACAGCTTTCACAAGAACTGGGATGCACTACTGTGAAGGTGGTTGCCCCACTTGTGATCGATTGAAAGTGGCAGTGCAAATACGGTATCTGTCTGCTGCCATTTTGCCACTGGCAATGCAACTTGCAATCTGCTGTGGGGTGATGAACCTTACAGTGAGCAACCTAGGTGATGAACATTATAGTGAGCAATTTACTGTACTGAGATAACCAGTCCTCCTTTTGCAAGGGGAAGGAGTAGGAAAGGAATGATGTGATGGTAGGGGCTCCCCTGTTACGGTGGGTATCTTGTACGAAGTGGCTGAATGTGATGGAGGCATGACAGATGCCAATCTTGCACAAGCACACCCGCCACGTATATTCGCCTGTTAGTACGACGTTTGGGCCTTACGGAAAAGCCGTTGTGAGAAAGACTCTCCTAGCGACAGCTAGTGAGATCCTCCAGTCGCAATGCGAGCCTAGCTCAAATAGACAACGGAATAGATTGACAAGAGTAGGGTGGTAGAGGCTCGATGCATGGGACCTCATTACATCGTCTACGAGATTGTCGTGCCATACACATCAAGATGCACTCACAACAGCTTTATTAGTGTCAGAAAATGTTGAACCATATAGTTACAGGCTAAGGAACACATCGCAAGGAAGAAATGACCTATTTTTATCAAATCTAACCGCCGAAACCATACAGCGTCCTGCCTTGACGCTTCAGAGCGTAGACGACGTCCATGGCGGTGACCGTCTTTCGCCTAGCGTGCTCCGTGTAAGTCACGGCGTCGCGAATGACATTCTCGAGGAACACCTTCAGCACGCCGCGCGTCTCTTCGTAGATGAGACCGCTGATACGCTTCACGCCGCCGCGGCGAGCGAGACGCCTGATAGCCGGCTTGGTGATGCCCTGGATGTTGTCGCGAAGCACCTTCCTGTGACGCTTCGCGCCTCCCTTTCCAAGGCCCTTGCCTCCCTTTCCACGTCCCGACATGGTTGCTTAGCAGAGAATGGAAGCAGGAGACAGCGTATAGCTTGGGCGAGGAACAAGTAACTGCGGCGGATGAAATCCGATGAATTTCTCTGAAGATGTACGAACTGAAATGGAAGAAGTGGAAGAAAATGTGGACACTCGTTTGAGAATGATAGGGATGAGAGAAGTTCTTATGGGGCTCTTGTCTCATTCCTTCAGCCTCGCGCTTTCGGAAAAAACCAGTGGAATGGAAACTGTGCTGCTCGGATGGGTGATTGGAGGAGGTGGTGGCGAAGTTTGTGGTTGGCTCATCTGGGCCGCTGCCATAGCCCACAGTCTTGTGGTATCGAACGGCGTTCCTTGATTGAAGCCGATCTCACATTGACGGAACGGTATTTTCTGATTGGTTCAGCCTAAGAAATATTCTTTGCTGTTCGCTGCTCGCTATCTCAGTATTGAGCACTAAGCCTGGAACAATGCAATACGATTAAAAACCCCTTCAAAATGTTTTAATGGAACCAGCTGGATAAAATATTAAGTGTTGAGGCATAGCGGTATTTAAACCATCGCAACCTAAAAAAATATTTAAAAGTAACCTCATCGCGTTTTAATATATCATATTGTACCGTAGAAGAAGAAACTTGGATTGGCAAACTAAGATGTCATCAAGGAAATAGTATATTGAGATTGAACTGTATTTGGGTGCTTTTACGGCACGTGACGCATCCGTCTGAAACACGGACACTGCCCCCAGTCCATCAGATTCATGGTTCACTGCACTGCACTCGATTAGGGTTTGCAGTTTGACTGCTCCTGGTAGGGTTGCTGTTCTTGCTAGGGTTGCTGCGGCGGCTTGAGTGACGTAGGGATACTGTTAATGCGTTCTCGGGTCGCTCGGCATACAGTATCCCCTGGCTTTTGTTTAGTGCGAGTGCTTTTTCTGCTTTTCGTTCCGGGTGCCCTACCTCCGCCCGCACGTGTCTTCGCAGCCTGCAAACCATGAATCTCAACCATCCATTACTCATCCACTTGACCCCGTCCTAGTCGCCATGGAAATTTCGACTTCATCGCGGCGCGCCTTCGTACCGCGCGCTACAGGCGAGCCTGCCTCCTCTCTCGCATCTCTCCCCACTGTCGCCTCCGCACCTCCCACCGCCGCTTCCGGCGTCTCTGGCGCCGCCTCTAGGGAAGATTCCGTCGCCGCGGCGTCGAATCCCGGATGCTCTAATCCCGGGCACGCGGTGGCGGGCAGCCGGGCAGCGAAAGAAAAAGCCGCCGAGGACCGTAGGGCAGGGAAACGGGCAGCAGAAGAGATGGAAGAGGATAGCGAGGGGGAGAGCGAGGGGGAAGAGGAGGAGGGAGCAGAGGGAGGCGAGACGAAAAAGCAAACAAGAAACGGGGTGAGGGGGAAGGGGAAGGGAGAGTCCCCGAGGGAAGCGGAGGTGTGCTCTATCTGCCTGGATGTCGTGGACGTGCGCTCGGACGAACGGTCCACTGCAAGGCTCAAGTGCGGCCATTCCTTTCACCTGGGTGAGCATTCACCCGGGTGAGCCCACCACTACCCCTCTGAGTGCACCTTCCATTGGGGGCCCGGGCTTTCTCTGCCGGTCGTGAGCGCGTGTCGCACGCGCTCAAGTCCGTCACCTGAGTGTCGCACGCGCTCGAGTCCGTCACCTGAGTGAGCGCGGGCGTGACGCCGTGAGTCAGAGTGGGAAGCGGAGGTGCGCTCTATCCACCGCGCTCGCACGAACGGTCTACCACCTAGGTCCTCCACCGCGCGACTAAAATGTGGCCATACCTTCCACCTAGGTCCCCCCTCTCCCTCCCCTGACTGCATCAGCTCCGCCTTCAACGCCAAGCGCCGCGTGCAGTGCCCCAACTGCTTTCCGTTCTCCCTTGACCCCCCCTCTTCTGCCCTCCTCTGCCCAATAACTCCCCCTCTTCCCTCCCCCCCCCCTCCCCCCCCCCTTATCCCAGACTGCATCGGCTCCGCCTTCAACGCCAAGCGCCGCATGCAGTGCCCCAACTGCCGCAGCGAGGAGCACGGCCACTGGCTCTTCGCGTCCGGCCCCTCGGGCCCCTCTCGCCCGCCCCCCGGCTCTGCTGCTGACATTGCCGCTGCTGCCATTTCTGCTGGCTTGGATGCCGCTGCTGTGGCTGATTTCGCTGCTGCAGCGGGGGTGGAGGTGGGGGGGGGAGCGGACGTGGGGTGGGTGGAGGTTGGGGGGGGCGGAGGGTCGTGGGGGGAGGAGGGGTCGTTGGAGGAATACGCGTTTGAGGAGGATCCGGAGCTGTTTATGAGGCATGTGCATGAGGTGGACCTGCCGCTGCCCCCGTGGGTTGATGACGAGGTGAAGGGGGGGGGGATGGGCGAGTTGGGGACGTGGTGTGCGGTATGTTACATGTATGTGGGGGGCTGGGAACCCATGTGCATGAGGTGGTCCTGCCCCTGCCCCCGTGGGCCGATGGGGGGGATGGGGGATCCGGGATGGGGGATGGGAGGTTGTGGGAGAGTTGGGGGAAGGTTAGGGGAGTGAGGGTAATAAGAGTGGGGTTTTTAAGGGCGTGTGCATGAGGTGCAGCGTGCACCTGCCGCTGCCCCTCCGGGTGGATGACGAGGTATGTGTGTGGGAGATGGAGGGTTGGGGAGAGTTGGGGCAAGGTTGGGTAGGGGGAGAGTGGGGATGATGGGAGTGGGTTGTCACAAGGCATGTGCGCGAGGTGGTCCTGCCTCTGCTGCTCCGAACTGATGACGACGACGTAGGTGGGGTGGGGGGGGTTGGGGGGGGGAGGTGGGGCGGGGGGGCTGGAGATGGGAGAGGTGGGGAGAACCTGGGGTAAGGAGGCATGTGCATGAGCTGGCCCTGCCTCTGCCGCTCTGGGCGGATGACGAGGTATGTGTACTACGGGGGATGGGAGAGTTGGAGACGTGGCGTGGGGAAAAATGGGAGTGCTGCCGATGGGGGAAGGGGGATCAAGTCGGGGGAAGATGGGGAGAAGGGGGGTTGGGAGGGGGGTGGGGGGGGTGGGGGGTTAGGGAGGGAAGGGAGGTGAAGGGATTTGGGGGGGGATGTGAGTGAGGCATGGGGAGGGATGGTCACGAGGTCTCGCCCCTCCCAACTGTGCGCATCAATGGTTTTCTGGCCATCTTACTTTCTCTCTATCCCAAACAGTCCGTCTCCCTCCTTGTGTCCCAATCCAATCTCTTCCTGCTATATACCCATGTGTCCACGACGACCCAGCTCTACGAGCCAGGCCCGTTCATCTTCACGCGGCACGGGTTGAGTGCTGCAGACGTGGAGGTATGTGCTGCTGGGGTGATGCGTGATGGGGCGAGGGGGCAATGGGTGGTCTGTCACACGGTCTCTACCTTTGAGCCAGGCAGGCCCGGTCATCTACACGCGGCACGTGTTGAGTGCTGCAGACGTGGAGGTATGTGCTGCTGGGGTGATGAGGGGATGGGGCGATGGATGATGGATGATGGATGATGGGATGGTGTGGTGATGGGGTGATGGGTTGATGGGTTGATGGGGTGATGGGGATCGGTGGTGGGGTGCCGGGATGATGGGGTGATAATTATGATGTACCCGTTGTGATGCGATGCGATACGGATTGTTTTCCGTTGAGCTTAGAAAAGGGAGGCGGTGCGAGCTTTTAGAATATGGACGAGGGGGGCGATATAGCAATTTTGTCAAAGCAGCGGGCGCTGTGTTGTCAAAGTGCCGTTGTCTCCATTGTCGAGTCAAAGTGCGAAAATGGAGGCACCACCTTCTTTTGAGTTGAGTCATCCTCGCTCACCTCTTTTTTTTTCTTTTTTTTTTTCCGAGTATAGTCTGTCGAAATCCATTTCTTTTCATGCAGAATCTTTGTCTCTTCTCACTATCGCTTGCACATCCTCGTCCACTCCCTCCCACTCACACACTCTCTCTCTCCCTCCCTTCACCCTCCCCTTTTCCCCCTATCCCCCCCACCCTGTCAGATGTATCACAATGCCGGTCATTCGTCTCATGCAGGTTACACGGGCGCCTATGGCGCCTCTCTCCCGTCGGTCCATCTTTGGTAAGACTGCACGTTCGTGTGCACACCTCGTTTGCACACCTCGTTGGCACACCTCGTTTGCCTGCCACGAATCTCATGACTGCCTGCCAATCCTGCCTTCGGAAGTTGGTAGCATGACATGGCATGGCATGGCATGTGTTGTTCTTACACCCAGACTTCTGTGCTACTCTGCTGTGCTGTGCTGTGCTGTGCTGTGCTGTGTTGTGCTGTGTGGTGCTGTGTTGTGTGGCAGGACGCGGTACGACCCCCATCGATACAATCACCACCAGCTTGAGCATGCCATGCATGTCATGCCATCGATTCCTGATGATGGTGGGTGCACCATGCATACCATGCCATGCTCTGCTGTGCTAGGCGCGTGCATTGTTGTGATTTCTTATGCATTTGCGGCGCTACCTCCCCCCTCATCCCTTGATACCCCGCTATGCTGCCCTCTTATGTATCGGTCCAATGACCGCTGCTTTCCCCCTCTCCCCACTCTCTCCCTTGATACCCCGCCATGCTGCCCTCCTCTGCATCGTGCATTCCTGTCCAATGACAACTGTTTTCCCCCTCCCCCCCCCTCTCCCCCTTCCCCTCTCAGCTCGTCTCTTTGGTTGGCGTGCAGGTGGGGGAGGAGGAGGTGGAGAAAGAGGAGGAGAAGGAGGAAGAGGAGGTAGAGGAGACGCTGCAACTGCCGGGGTAGAGGGAGGGGGAGGAGGGTGGCAGGAAGTGAATACAGGCGCTGCAAGGGAAGGACGGTGGCTGGGAGCAGGAAGAATCGGATGGGAAACCGATCCTTCCAACCCCGCCCTTCCCCTCAACCCCTCCTATTCTCCGTATCCCTCCAACCCTTCCCATCCCGCCAGTTCTTCCCACCCCCTCCCTCCGCCTACCCATCCGCATGCCTCTGGGTGCCCCTACCTTGCGGCAGCAGCTGCTGCATACTCTGCTGCCCCACCCCCTTCCTCTTCCCATTCCGTTCACCCTCCTCCCTCTGCCTATGGCGCTGGCCTCTCCTCCTTGGCACAACCATCAGGACCACAACCGCATCCTCCCCCCCTCCCTCGTGCACATGCCCCCTCTGCCCCCTCTGCTCCCTCGGCTCCTTTTTACCACCCGCTCTTCCCCTCCCCTTCCCACCAGCACCAGCACCAGCACCAGCACCACCCCCTAGCCCACCGCACGCACCACCATCCGTCTTCCTACCCATCCGCCCCGGGCGGGGTTTCTGGGGCAAATGCCGGCCAGCCTATGGAGTGGGACAATGCCACCCCTGCTGCTGCCGCCGCTGCCGCTGCTGCTGCTGCAGCTGCCACTGCTGGTGCTCTTGCTGCTGCTGCCACCGCTGGTACTGCTGGCGGTGGTGCTGCTGCTGGCGGTGGGGGTGTTAACGATGCATGGGGTGCGCGTGCTGCAGGGGGCGCTAGGCCCTGGTGGCAGGAGGGCTTTCCTCCCTCTAGCATACCGCGAGGCAGGAGAAGGGTGGGAGTGTGGGAGGGAAGACCAGTACTGGCCGATGGTGACTATAACGAATGGATGAGGGGAACGAGGGAGCGGGAACTCGCGCCCGCCCCTTCCTCCCTCTCTCCACCACCCCCTCCTCCTCTCGATCCCTCTGCACCTCTCTCCCATCCTCTCCAGCGCGCCATGGCTCCTTCCTCTCTTCCTTCTCCTCCCCCCCCATCCGCCTATTACTCTCGCACACGTTCCTTGCCGCCGCAGCAGGCCAACTACACAGCATCAGGCGGCGCAGAGATGGAGAGTCGTGGCTTCTCGGCATTTCCCCATGAGGCAGGGGCTGTGGGAGGGAGAGCGGGTGTGGGGGGGAGAGGGGGTAGGGAGGGTGGTTCGGGAGGGGGTGAGGTGGGAGGGTGGAGCTGGGGGTCAGAAGCGGGAGAAGGAGCAGCAGGCGTGGGCAGCGCCGATGGTGCCAGTGCTGGTGCTAATGCTGGTGCTGGTGGCAGTGGTAGCGGTGGTACGAGTGCGGGCAATTGGCGGTGGCAGGCCGAGTCCCCAGGCGTGCTCTCTCAGCATGGTCACTTTACCGCACCTCCTGGTGCCAATCCTCCTTCCTGCACTCCTCCCTCCACTGCGTCTCCACCCGGTCACTTGCCTCTCTTTTCTGTGCCGTCCCTGCCGCAAGCCCCAGGGGCCTCGCCTTCGCCCTCTTCGACCGTGCAAGCTCCAGGATCCTCCTCCTCGTTGGCCTCGCACGTCCCGCGAGTCTCTCGAATGCGTTATTCCCAGCGTCCAGGGCCCTTCGCTGGCGGGGCCCCTTTCACCCCAGCGGCGGCTGGTTACCCTAGGGAGCCTGCTGGTTACTCTGGGGACCCGTCTACCCCCGCCGGTTTCTCCCCGGATCCGTTCGCCTCTTTTGGGCTCATGGGAAACGCCTCTGCTGCTGCACCTTCCCCTGGGCCTGCACCCCTCTCTCTGGCTTCTCCCTGCCCTCCTGCGTCCACGGGGCCAGCAGCAAGAGCAGGAAGAGCAGCAGGGGGGAGGACGGACATGGGATCGTCAGGGCAGAGGCAGCCAGAGGTGATCGAGTTGGACGATGACTCGGACATGGAAAGGGGACCTGGAGGGTGGGGGGGGCGAGGGGGAGGTGGAGGAGGAGGAGGCGGAGGCGGCGGAGGAGGCGGGACAGCAAGGTGGGGAGGAGGGGAGTGGGAAGGGGCGTGGAGGGTTGAGGCAAGAGCAACAAGGCATGAGGAGGGATGGCACGGGGAGGCGGTGGGGGGAGGGCAGGGCAGGTCGTTTCTAAACCCGCTGGCTGCTCCGTTCAGCAGTCATGGGACAGTTGCAGGTGCAGGGGGCAGCAGAACACCCAACCCCCATCCCAACCTCAGCTCCAATCCTAACCTGGACCCACACCGTAGCTCGAGCTTCAGGCATGGGGCCATGAATAGGGGTACAATGCCAGGAGGAGCATCCAGTGGTTATGCTGATGCTGGTGCTGCCGGTGCTGCCGGTGCTGGTGCTGGTGCTGGTGCTGGTGCTGGTGCTGGTGCTGGTGCTGGTGCTGGTGGGCGTTTGAGTGCTGCGCCTGCGTCAGCAAGGGGGTGGATGGCACGTGGGCGTCCCACAGGACTGGCATCATCGCTGTTTGAGCCTCAGGGGAACGAGGTGAGTGAGTGCGAGACGAGGTGAGTGGGTGCGAGACGAGGTGAGTGGGTGCGAGACGAGGTGAGTGGGTGCGAGACGAGGTGAGTGGGTGCGAGACGAGGTGAGTGGGTGCGAGACGAGGTGAGTGGGTGCGAGACGAGGTGAGTGGGTGCGAGACGAGGTGAGTGGGTGTGAGACGAAGTGAGTGGGTGCGAGACGAGGTGTTGGTGCTGCTGGAGGTGACTCAAGGGATGCGTCTTAAGTGGGAGACAAGTTTTTGTCGTCTGCCTGAGCCCCAGGAAAACGAGGGGAGGGGAAATCTTTGGATTGATGTCAAGGTGGCTATTTTTCGTTGTTTGTACTGCGTCTGCCTTGGTAGATTTTCCATCGCTCAACTGCCATCGCTGCAATGCTCATCTCCCACTGCTCGTGACCCCCCCTACGAAGTTCCCCTTTTTCACTGCCTTTCCCTCCCGGCCGTTCCAATGCGTCCTGCGACCTCCTTTCCCCTCCGCCTCGCACAGCTCTCGCCATCTCTCTGCCTTGTCTCCCTTCTTCCGCCGCCCGCCCCCTCTCCCTTCCCTGCCGTTTCAATGCTTGCTGTCTTCGCCCTCCTCCTCCGCGTCCCCATCCAACACCCGCCATCGAATTCGCCTCCCTCCTTCCCCCCCCCCCCCCCCCCCTTTCTCACCCGCTCTCCCCTCCCTGCAGTACCAATGCTTGCTGTCCTCCACCCTCCTCCTCCTCTGCCCCCGCCAACACCCGCCATCTAATTCCCCTCCCTCCTCCCTCCCCCTCCCCCCCCCCACTCTCCCCTCCCTGCAGTTCCGATGCCTGCTGTGCCCGCCCTCCTCCTCCTCCGTTGCCTCCACGTACACACGCCACCCCTCCCTCCTCCCTCACCGCACCCACTTCCCTGACCTACCTCGCCTGAGGGATCACATGCTGTTGCGACACGGCATCGACCCCATGCCTACCCATGCCCCTCTCGCCCTGCTCTGACCTGCCCTCTTCCACCGCACAGCACCACCTGCCACCCCTCCCTCCTCCCTCACTGCACCCTCTTTTTTCTGATGTGGCTTGTTAACAAAATCATATGCAACTCGGCATCGAACCCATGGCGGCTAACGCTCCTCTGGCCTTGCTGTGACCTGCCCTTCTCCATCTCTCAGCACCGCTCTGGATATACTCTAAACCCGAAACCTTAAACCCGAAACCCATGCACTGTTATCCGCCCTCCCTCCTCCCCCACTGCACTCTCGTCTGTGGCATGGCTTGTTCCAGAGACCGCATGCTGCTGTGCCATGGCATCGGCGCCTCGGCATTGGCGCCATGGCATGGGCGCCATGGCATCGGCACCATGCCTGTCCATTCCCCTCTAGCCTTCCTCGAAGGTCAATACACCCCTTTGAAGCACCCCTCGGCACCGCTCTCCATCTCTCTCTCCTGCACGACACCCTCTCCCCTGACAAGGCTTGCCTGAGAGACCAGACAAGGTCTGCAAGCCAGCAACGTGGCATCATTGACACTATGGCTACCCATGGCAAGCATGCAACATGGCATCACCCATGCCATGGCTACCAGTGCTGCCCCTTCCAACTATCCACCACTCTCCACCACTCAGCACCCTCCTTGTTTTGTTCAACACTGCCGTGTTTAAAGAACATCCCAGGTACTGTAGCTGCTTCTTTTTCTTCCCAAGAAATAACTGTGTTCTTCTCTGTGTTGTGTGGACGACTCATCGTTTGTCTTAGTGTATGTGTGATGCTGGTGTGCTGCCGTATGTTACACTTGAGACGTTTTTCCTTATCCTCTGTACATATGATGCTACAGCTGTAGAATGGGGTTTTAATATCTCCTAACACATCACTCTATACAGCACAGCTGCACTCCATTTGCAGCATCACTGGTGCAGTCATACAGAGAGCATGCCAGTGAGAAGCATTGCTGGCGGGATACCACCCTACCACGTGAATCTTGTTGTGATATAATTGATACTTAGCATTTTTGTAAGTCGATTATGTGTAGTTAGTGTCGAATCACACTGTAGAAGATAAGTCCGTAGGAGGATGTCAGCAAATAGCGCTCGTCATAGGACAGTCGTTTCAGTCACGCGAACAGTCGCACCCCTTCATTATCATCTAGGGCGCATAGCGCGATAAGTGACGAACAGGTACATTAGCGAATAGGTACTTTGCGTAGAACTATAAATCTCTGTTAGGTCTTTTTCATTATTAACTTTGATTACTCCCAAGTTCACGTACTCAGGTTATTCAACCTTGACCTTAACATTTTACAAGACTTCCGCTGTCTTACTAGTCTACCATTCCAGCAAAGATCCTGGACCAACACTTGAGGATTTGCCTAGTGTTCGCATTTATAGTTTTATACTTAGTCTCTTACAACATCAGACGATTTATTTCATGGTATGAGAGCTATCTGGAATTAAGACTACCGTCAACTATGACTGGTTCATCACCAGCACCATCTGCCGGATCAGTTACTGGGACTACTGGAGCACATGCCTCTACTACGGCCGCTGGTCTCTCAGCCTCTGGGCACTTTCCACCAGCCTACGCTAGTATCGGTATGCAACAGCAGAATCCGCCTTCTGTGAATACTCCAGGTGCTCCATCGACTGCACCTGCAACGCAACAGCAACAATAACAGACGACAACACAGCAACAAGCGTCAGTACAGCCACCAGTTTCAACGCAATCGATTTCATCTGCGTTCAGTGGAATGAGCCTTGACGACTCAAGTTACATGCGTGGAGCTACAACTCCAAGTACTGGTTCGTTCGCTTTCTCACCTTTCATACAACAGCCGCAGTCACAGCAGTTTCAGCATCCTTTCTACATCTTCGGTCAACCCCCTGCTCAGCAGCCACAGCAAGTTCAGCAACAGCAACAGCAACAGCAACAACAGCAACAGCAACAACAGCCGGGCATTGTTTTTCAGCCTCCAAATTTACTTAACAATACTCAAATCAAGACGACCATACCGTTAACGGAGTCGACTTCTACTCCTGGAGCTTCGAGTTTGAGCTTCTGGCACAGTCCGCTGGGCTTTGGCTGTTCTTCACCGGAGAATTCACCTATCCTGTTACGGGAACACAACTAGAGTAGCAGGGTTTCTTGCACACCTCTCTCGGGACGTATACAGTTCTTGTACGGAACTTGTCGCCGAAGGAGCAGCTCGGCGTTCGATCGTTTCACTCAAGTTTTACACCAGCCGAAACTGCATGGAACCATCTGAAGGGGGTATACATGGCAAAGGATACAATAACAGTGAGTACTTTCGCAGCTGACAAGTGTGCAGATGATGACAAATCAAAACGTCATGGACTACGTTAACCGCGTCCGTACACTACGTGACCAACTGGAGAAGAGCGGGGGATACTTCCCTCGTGAGATGTATCTCACAGTTCTTCTGGCTGGCCTTGGACCCGAATAGCGACAGACGCGCGCCTTCCTGCGCATGAATCCCAACCTCTCCGAAGCTGAAATTTCTTCTTATCTTCAAGCAGAGCAGCAATATCTTGACCTGCAGTCACAACGCAACCAGAAAAGGGGAGTTCATTTAAGTTTTTACTCCAATCCAGAAACACAACATCGACATCCACCAAAGTACCCGTTCTACCATTTCTGTAAGAAACCAGGACATACTTACCAAAACTGTCGCAGCCGTCATCAAAATCGTCGCAATACTTCGCAGCCGTATCAACGATCGCAGCAGTTACCGAAGACACAACTGCCACAGCAGCAGTTAACGTCTCAGCAGCAGCAAATACCCAAACCGCCACCAAATCCATCTACGTCGCAGCATCGTCCGCCGGTCTTCGCATCTGCCACATCAAGAAAAGGGGTTTTTGGCTGCGTCACCACAGTTGATGTTTCAGAAACAGATTTCGAAACACGACTTGAAGAAACAACAAGTGCTGAAGGCATTCCTTTACCTCAAGTTTACGCTAACCTTGCTCGCATAATTTCAGGACCAAATACCTGGTATCTCGACAGCTGCTGCGGATGGCATATGTGTTCTGCCGAAACAAGCTTTATCACTTATCAGTGTCCACTTCGTCGTCCGATACCTGTCACAGTCGCAAACGGACAAACTATAATTGTACGATAAGTTGGTAGTGTCATGCTCGAATCTATCGACACGGGATACTCACTTCATGTTACGAATGTTCTTATCGTCGCCGGACTTGGCTTCAACCTTCTTTCCACGGCTCAACTCCTTGCACACAAAATTCGTACACAAGGAAATTGTGAGACGATGGATCAAGAGCTCTGGCACAGTACAACTAATACCTACCTTGGTCGTGCCGCCACTCAACATGGCTTGTCAGTTCTTCAGTTCGCAGCACAGGGAACCTCTGGAGATTCTGAACACGTGCTTGCACTTGGTCCCTGGGATCACCCAGAAGAAACAGATTATCAACATGTGGACATTGATTTTCGCGCAACTTCAGTACCAACAGCTTCTCGAACAGCAGCCGCCGTACTTACCGCGTTGGATACCTGGGAGTTCAATACCACCGATGAAAGCGCCACCGCGTGGCGAACGTTTTATAATACCCGTGCAGCCTTCCAAGGAACTCCAGCACCACTTTGGGGAGAAATAAGTGGTCTTGCCGCTGATGAACCTGACGTTGAAGAAGCCGAACAGGAAGCCGTAGCTGAGCAGCCGAGTCCAACCGTAGCTGTCGCCGAAACACCTGCCAGGACATCAACAGAAGCAGTATCAGGGGTTATACTCGCACCTGCAGCAGCAATATCACAAGTCACGTTACCTCTTCACCATTTCGTCGAAGGAGAAATTGACAAGTCACCAGCCCTTTCTCCTTTCATTCTTTCTTCCTTTTATACTAACTCCGAATTCTACCTGCGATCATCAGGACACAAAGCCACGGAAGATATATGGCATCAGCGGCTAGGACATCCATCACAAGGGATTCTTAATCATTCAATCTGAGCAGCAGTTCTTGATAAAAATAGTTTACGTTTACCTGATGGCACGGAGATGAAGCCGCAATCTCGTCCGACGGTTTGCACCACTTGTCCAGTTGCCAACCTTACGCACGATCCGTTTCCAAGTCATTTTCCCGGCTCAACACGTTATCAACTGATGCAGAAAGTCTACAGCGACATACTCAACTTGTCTGTAGCAGGCCCTAAAGACGAGAAGTATGTGATAACCTTCATCGAAGCGTCTACACGATATGTCTGGACAGCTAACTTACCTGCGCGCCATCTCGCTCACTCCGTTTTCGTCGCACGGCTCGCTGTCGCTGAACGGGAGTCTGGCGCGAAACTGCAAGAATTTTAGAGTGATGGTGCAGGGGAGTACACCAGCAACGCTTTCACAGACTACCTTCAGACACTCGGCATCAAACGGAAGCAGTCTCTGCCGCATGCACACCAACAGATGGGGGTAGCAGAAAGGATGAACAGAACACTGCAGGAGAAGATGCGTGCTCTGCTGACGCAGGCAGCACTTCCACCGCATTTTTGGCCATATGCGATGGACCACGCCGTGCTGTTACACAATCTTCTTTCTTCAACGTCCCTGCCCGAGTTTTCTTCTCCGCACCTGCAGTGGACACGTACATTGGGAAGCACAAAACTTTTACGAGTTTTCGGGTGTGTTGTACAGTTTCGTCCTCCAACCGCAGCACTCGGAAAATTGTATGAACGAGCAAAATGGGGGGTACACCTCTGCATCGAAAAACAGTATCACGCGTGGAAGATTTTGGACCTTCGCTCCCATCAAATCGTTCCATCACGTAATTGTCTTTTCTATGAAAGACTCACCTTGCCCGTTTTTCGTGCCCACCAGGCAGCAGCCGCCAATCCTGCCAGGTTGTTCGAAGGCTCGCGTGCATTTGCAACTGACGAGGCCGAAGCTGATGTACAGGACGAAGCAGTTTCTGAAGCATCCGAAGCTGCCGCAACTGACATTCCCGAACCTGTAACCTTGACTGGCATACCAGAGTTTATTCCGCTTGCAGATGCTGACCCGGATGACGTTCGCGAAGTCCGTCTCAGTTACGAACGCGATCGCCAACAGCAGCCGATGCCCGCCGTCTCTGACGAAGCAGTTCGTGTTACACCTGGCAAAATTGGGGGGGAAGAAGGAGCAGAAGAAAAGTTCGCAGGTGCAAACGAAGAACGTCCGCGTTTTACAGAAACAGGATTGCAGATACAGGGATTTGCAGTAGCAGTACAGTGCAACGACAGTAAGATACCTGAACCGAAAACCGTCCGACAAGCTCTTACGAGTCCTCACCGAGAGAAATGGCACGAAGCCATGGACAGAGAGCTAGCAGCTCTCAAGAATCGCGGAACATGGGATTTAATACCGACTTCAGAAGTAAAAGGGAAGAAGGTACTTACCGGAAAATGGGTCTTCCGCGTCAAGACTAATGCAGATGGGTCGTTTGAAAAGTTCAAAGCGCGATGGGTCGTCCGCGGCTTCGAGCAGACTTACGGCATCGACTATGAACTAACCTTTGCTCCTGTCGGACGACATACAAGCGTTCGGATTCTTGTTTGTGTCGCCGCCTGCCGAAATCTACGTCTTCGCCAAATCGACGTCTCGAATGCGTTTCTCCACGCGCCTGTCGACGCACTCATCCTGGTAGAGTACCCGCATTCTTATACTACTAACCCACCGAGCGTTTGCCGTCTCCGAAAATCTCTATACGGCATTAAACAAGCACCACGGCTCTGGCAGCAGTATCTTCACTCGCAGCTGATCATTGCTGGATTTCGACAGTTACCGCATGATCAGGGAATGTATCTACTGACCGACGGCAGCAACTACATTTTACTTGTCGCCTA